TACACATATCTGTTTGAGCCCTTGTGACTGCAGGAACATTGCATTAGCCTGTGCACAGTTTAGTGCATTACGCTACATTGACATCATCCTGTAACAGCAACTCATTAAAGGAAACATCATGTGGATTGTTCTTCTGGATGAGGGATAAGGAACCTGTGACCCACCAGAGATTGTTGGACTCCAGCTCCCATCAGCCCCAGCAAGTATGGCCAAAGGTCAGGGGTGGTGGGAGCTGAACAATGTCCTGAGGGCCACCGGCTCCCTCATCCCTGTTAGGGATGAGCTTCCAGCCACATGTGCAAAAGGGTGCTTTCTAAGAAGGCAGCAACCTTAATCTACAAACACAGCGATGCCCCATACACAGAGCTCATACTTGTATCATCTCTTGTCGGCTGTCTGATGGATGTGGACCACAGGCTCCCTATTTCCTTAAACCACCCTGTATATATATCATTCTTTCCAGATGTTTTGGTGCTTGCTTATTTGTATCACTGTTGTGTTCCAAATGACACAAGGTTTTGTAACTAAGAACATTGTCAGTTGATACAGTGGTACCCAACTTGTCAAAAGGATGCTGAGCTGTAGCTTGTGCTGTCCATCCTCTGTGCAGTCAGCTTTCTCTCTGAAAAATTATTGTGAAGCCTTATGAGTACAGCAAGTGCACTGAAGAAGAAAAAGGTACTATTGCTAGTGTAAACTGTTCAAAATGCCTTGAAATAAAGAATTGCAAGCACACAAGTTTGGAAATCCAATGAAGAATTCAACGTAATTAATTGGCTTATATACCTTCAAATCCTGTAAGCTTAAGCAGTTCAAGTACCTTGATTAATTTACTGCAAATCATATCATCTAAATTTTTTGACTTTTTCTTTTAAAAACACACACCTCACAATGAATTAAAATCATAATATTGGTTTTCAGCACTGAGCTTTCAATTTCTCAGAACTCTCCTTCTTTTTATGGTACTGCTTTCCCACGGGATTTTAGGCACATTTCCCAGAACTTTGCTTGACCATCTCCAGTTTCAGAAGCTTGCAAATTTTTGCTTCAGGTTGTCTCATCTATAATCTGGGGATCAGATGGTCAAGCCAGTAAAATGAGACAAGGACTAGAAGAAATAAATTTACAACTTAGCAGCTCCGTCAAACCATCTAAATAAATCCTCAAATCCCACTCCCTACAGGAATGAGTTTAGCTGCCAAGTTCCCCATGAGTTCCCAAGTGAAGATATTTGGCAATGTGGAAGGTTGGTGTCACCCAAAACAGGTGAGGAGTGATAATTCAGCTGTGCAGCTGATTTTTGCTGACCCCTGACAGTCAAATCACCCCCTTAAAAAGGTAAAGGTAAAGGGACCCCTGACCATTAGGTCCAGTTGTGGCCGACTCTGGGGTTGCGGCGCTCATCTCGCTTTATTGGCCGAGGGAGCCGGTGTACAACTTCCAGGTCATGTGGCCAGCAGGACTAAGCCGCTTCTGGCGAACCAGAGCAGCGCACGGAAATGCTGTTTACCTTCCCACTGGAGCGGTACCTATTTATCTACTTGCACTTTGACGTGCTTTCAAACTGCTAGGTTGGCAGGAGCAGGGACCGAGCAATGGGCGCTCACCCCGTCGCGGGGATTCGAACTGCCAACCTTATGATCGGCAAGTCCTAGGCTCTGTGGTTTAACCCACATCACCACCTGTGTCCCTTCTAATCACCCCCTTAGGATGCAGTAATAAAGAGGTGTTCTTAACTCCTCTTATTTCACAGTAGAAAGGGGAAATGTGGCAATGACAAAGCAAATACTTAGCAATCCTTAGCCTTAATAAATTACATTGAGAATCTGTTTACAAAAACAGTATTTTAGGAGGGGGAAACACAAGGCAAAGTCTCAGTGAGGCACAACCTTTATTAAGAAAAATGCCACACAGAGTAGAAGCCAGCTTTCAAGTTCTCCAGAACTGCTTAGACTGGAAGTTGGAACCACAATGAAGGAGGAGGTTGAGGAAGCACAAGAAAGGGAGAGGAATTGCTGAGCATGATGTTGAAGCTGCACAGTCTGCAGATAGGGGTGCAGGAGGTGGTAGGCAGACCATGTTTGGCACTGCAAGGTGCAAAGCAGAGTTCAGGTTGCACTGAGGACTGCCAGAACAAAGAAACAATGATGGTTGTTCCCCCGTACTGTTGGAAACCAGAGAATCTAGCAGTTATTTGGATGTGTCTTCGGGACTGAAGAGGACATAGAGGATCCATCTGAGGCAGGAAGCAGAAGAGAAATGTGGCGACACACATTTATGTGTATCTGTTTGTTTTATGCGTATCTATGTGGGACGCGGGTGGTGCTGTGGGTTAAACCACTGAGCCTAGGGCTTTCTGATCGGAAGATTGGCAGTTCAAATCCCCGCAACCGGGTAAGCTCCTGTTGCTCAGTCCCAGCTCCTCCCAACCTAGCAGTTCGAAAGCACGCCCAAAAAGTGCAAGTAGATAAATAGGTACCGCTCCGGTGGGAAGGTAAATAACGTTTCCATGTGCCATGTTTCGCCAGAAGCGGCTTAGTCATGCTAGCCACATGACCCAGAAAAACTGTCTGCAGACAAACGTCGGCTCCCTCGGCCAGCAAAGCGAGATGAGCGCTGCAACCCCAGAGTCGTTCGCGACTGGCCTTAACTGTCAGGGGTCCTTTACCTTTACTTTTTATGTTCGTTTTATTTATTGCATTTATACACAGCCTTTCTGCCAATGCCCCCAAGGCGGTTTACAAAGTTAAAATGCTAACACAAATAAATGATACAAGACTTTATGAATCGAAAGTGGAGACGCTATATGTACTTTGTTTTGCTACATAATAAAATATTCTGTATGTATGTATGTACCGTATTTTTTGCTCTATAAGATGCACCAGACCACAAGACACACCTAGTTTTTGGAGGATGAAAACAAACAAAAAAATATTCTGAATCCCAGAAGCCAGAACAGCAAGAGGGATCGCTGCGCAGCGAAAGCAGTGATCCCTATTGCTGTTCTGGCTTCTGGGATAGCTGCGCAGCCTGCATTCGCTCCATAAGACGCACACACATTTCCCCTTACTTTTTAGGAGGGAAAAAGTGGGTCTTATAGAGCTGTATATATACAGTCGTACCTTGGTTGACGAATGCCTTGCAACTCGAATGTTTTGGCTCCTGAATGCCACAAAATGAGTGTTCTGGTTTGTGAACGTTCTTTGGAACCCAAACATCTGGCTCGGCTTGCACAGCTTCCGATTCGCTGCAGGAACTTCCTGCAGCCAATTGGAAGCCACACCTTGGTTTCTGAATGTTTTGGAAGTCAAACAGAATACACACACACACACACACACACACACACACACACACACATATGTAAAAGTTGCACCTGACAAAGGCAAGGGGAGAGGGCACAGGCCCTGCCTCTCTTGCTCTCTACTTCCTTCTCACAGGGCAGGTAGTGTCAGTTTGCACTGTGTGAGGAGGGGACTGTTTGACATATTTCCTCTCTTCTTCCTTGTCACAGGGCAGACCCCTTTGGCCCTGGGAAGGAGAGGAGTCAGTCCAACTCCAGCAGGCCCTGATGTTGCCCTAGCAACAATATACTCCATGACTGTGTTTGTCTATCTGTTTTTGCATCCTTTGCTGTGTGAATTTGACAACGGTTGCCTTTGTAGATTTCCTGGTAAATTTTACTAATATGTTGCTTTGCAGAAACTGGAGAAAACTGAAGCAGGAAAGACACCCCACTGCCGGGAAGATAACATTCAGAGTTTGCCTCACAGTTTTGTAATGCCTAACAAAATCCTTTTGTTTTGGGTCTTTTGGTGAGCACACAAAAGAACAGAATGACCTTATCAGAACTGGGGGAAACATGTATGAGGATTTATTTTGCATGGTATATCTATGTGACTGTTTTTGGCTGGTGGAACAAGAAGGCATTTACCATGCACCATTCAGAATATTGCCCATAAACAGCTATGCAATTATGGAACTGGTCAAAGAGGGAGGGACCTTCAAGCTTTCTGGACAGAAACTCTGATATTGCTCTAAAAGCATAAAATAAGGACTGCAGTACCATATATGCATATTTACTCAGAAGGACATCTAACCAAGGTCAGTAGAACTTACTCCCAAGTAAGTGGCTTTAAGATCATATCCTAATGGTGCAATTGTACATGTCTACTCAGAAATAAGTCCGCAGCGGGGCTTACTCCCAAGTATAGCACTGAGGCCTTCAACTGAAATCTTGGTTGAGTCACAAGCTTGGAAAACACAACATATGTGCAGTTTATTTGCTTCCCGGTTATGTTGCCTTTCAAACATGCTGCCCTTATAATTTCAGCTTCTACCTGAAAACACGACAGGTAAATGACTTTTAAAAATGCAGAAAAATGCAGAAAGATTTTTCAGGAAGCTACAAAGCACAACAGAAGCTTGGCAATGGCACACGGCCTGAACCCTTCTCCTTACGGTATCATAATAGGAAAAAGCAAGTTATTATACTGCTAATCTTTATTATCTGCCATCGACTCTGGGCTAAGCCATTCTCTCACAGCTCTCCCCATCCATAAAACTGCATAGGAGACACTGCTTTGTATCATCTTCTAAGATTTTGACATTTTGAGGTGAGGAGTGTCTGGTGCTCTGTCTTAAGTAATAAATAACTTTAGATAAGAGTCTATTGTGGCTGAGTATGATGGTAACACACTATTGTGTTTGGACAGGGAGGAGGGGAAGCTTTTATTACTTGCATCCTGACCAATATAATGCTGGGAGTTCATCTGCCGTCCTCTGGGCTTTTTCTTTCCAAGTCCGACTTCTGCTGAAGTTTAGCATGTTTTGGTGTTGCTGTCAATTTGTTCAGGAGTCCTGTCTTCCTGCCAATGCAGATCATCTTATATTTGTGAATGGTGTGTTGCTGTTCTTAAGCTAGCTAGCTCTCTTTAAGACATCTTTTTGCACACATTTGTTTTTAATCCTCCGGTACCCAAGGGTAATTAACCCAAGCAATGTTGACATGCAGCCATGGATTTTATTAGCGCTGGGATCAATGCTTTGCTCTTTAAGTGCTTTGCAGTTTAAGAAATGTGGGGTGCTTTTACTGAAGAGATTGAAAGGTTTTGTTTTTAGATTTTGTAAGTTGAGTTGCTACACGGAAGAAAAGTGTCTTCATGTTCCGTTTGCTGTGGCACTTTGGATTTCTGTACAGTTGCTGCAGATCTCTGTGGATTGACAAAATACATACAACGCAGCGTTGATATTGATGATACTTGTAACTAATTCTGAATTAAACAGAATCGGCAGTATACATTGTGGTAACTTGTTTAAAATGCAGTTTCCTGCTGGGCTTTTAGCTATTTTATATTGACATGCTATGTACACAAACATCCTAAGTCCCCTCAGGCCTGAAAAATGTTTCAAGCTGTAAGGCTTTAAGAGAACTTATAATTTTCTGTCATAAATTACACAGTGTAAGAATCTGAGATTTTTAGCATAGAATAATGGAATTATAGAGTTGGAAAGGTTCTTGAGAGTCATCTAGTCCAACCCCCAGCAATGCAGGAATTTCAACCAAATCATGCATGACAGATGGCCAATTAGCCTCTGCTTAAAAACATCCAAGGAAGAAGAGGCCACCACCTCTCATAGGAGTCTGTTTCACTGTTGAACAGCCCTTACTGTCAGAAAGTTCTTTCTGATGCTTAGTTGGAATTTCCTTTCTTGTAACTTGAATCCATTGGTTCGGGTCCTAGCCTCCAAAGCAGGAAAAAACAGGCTTGCTCCATCCTCCATGTGATAGCCCTTTACATATTTGAAGATGGCTATCATATCTCCTCTCAGTCTCCTGTTTTCCAGGCCCAACTCCATCAACCGTTCCTTGGAAGGCTTGGTTTCCAGTCTCTTGATCATATTGGTTGCCTTCCTCTGCACATGTTTCAGCTTGTCAATATCTTTCTTAAATTGTGGTTCCCAGAACTAGACACAGTTCTCCAGGTGTGGTCTGACCAAGGCAGAATAGAGCAGGACTGTAACATCCCTTGATATTATTATTATTATTGATTTATTATTTGTACCCCACCCATCTGTCTGGGTTGGCGGCTTCCAACAAACATTAAAAATACATTAAAATGTCACACATTAAAAACTTCACTGAACACGGCTGCCTTCAGATGTCTTCTAAATGTCAGGTAGTTGTTTATTGCTTTGACATCTGATGGGAGGGCGTTCCACAGGGCGGGCGCCACTACTGAGAAGGCCCTCTGACTGGTTCCCTGTAGCTTTGCTTCTTGCAATGAGGGAACCACCAGAAGGCCCTCAGCGCTGGACCTCAGCATCCGGGCAGAACGATGGGGGTGGTAACGCTCCTTCAGGTATACTGGACTGAGGCAGTTTAGGACTTTAAAGGTCAACACCAACACTTTGAATTGTGCTTGGAAACGTATTGTGATCTGGACACTATAGTTCTGTTGATGCAGTCTGGAACATTATTAGCATATATTTTTTGCTGCTGCATCAAACTGTTGACTCATGTTAAACTTGTGGTCTACTAAGACCTCTAGATCCTTTCCACATGGACTACCGGCAATCCAGATGTTTCCCATCTTATATTTGTGCAGCTAGTTCTTCCTGCCTAAATGCAGAGCCTCACATTTGTCCCTATTGAAATCCACACTTGGCTATGATGCTCACTGGGTGGTCTTGCTCAAGTCACAATCTTGCAGCCTAGCCTATCTCAAAGGGTTGTTGAAAGGCTTAAATCCTCACAGAAAGACCAATATATTAATGGAACAAGTGCCTTAGCATTATAGAAAAACTTTGATATTTCTCCTGAGGTGGTATGGTTGACAGGTGCCTATAAATGTACAGCATATACTGCCAAATTCACATGGTAAAGGATGCAAAGACATGCTACAGCTGGGTAATATACAATATTGGTTATACTGTACTCAGAGTAGATAATTGATTTCAGTGGGTCTGCGTATGACTTAGTTGGAGTTCACTTCCACCACACATGTACCAAATACAGGGTGCTAATCTTGAAGTGAGACGAATGCGTATCAACACACACAAATGTGTGGAACTGAACCCACAAGTTCTCTCTTTTTTTAAAAAAAATAATATTTATTATAGTTTCGCAAAGAAAGAATCACATTAATAAAAAAGAAAAATTTAAGAATAAAAAGAAAAATACACAATACAAAATACAAAAGGAAAAAAGAAAAAAGAAAAAACAGTTTAAAAAAAATTCCGTCTTTTCATGACTTCTTTTACATTTACTTGTTTCCCGGACCTCCTCATACCTCCCTCTTTTGTTTTCCAATTCAGTTTGTTAATCCAGCAATTTCTTTCCCTCTTTTTTAATCCCAATCCTTAATCTTAATATATTATAACATTAACCTATTAACAACCAATTTTTCCATTCTTTTAACCTTTTTAATGCTAATCCTTAAGCTTAATATATTTATAACTTTAAAGCCTGTACAGCTAGAAGCCACTTAACTTCAATCCAACAGCACTCTAACATTCATTAATTTTGCAATATTTCTGTAAATAATCTTTAAATTTCTTCCAATCTTCTTCCACAGACTCTTCTCCCTGGTCACGGATTCTGCCAGTCATTTCCGCCAATTCCATGTAGTCCATCATTTTCATCTGCCATTCCTCCAGTGTGGGTAGCTCTTGTGTCTTCCAATACTTTGCAATGAGTATTCTATCCTTTTTTAACACCAATTGGCCGACTATACCTAGGAGAAAGGCCTCTGGTTTCTTCAAGAAGGTATATTTAAATACCTTTTTTAATTCATTATATATCATCTCCCAGAAAGCCTTAATCTTTGGGCACGTCCACCAAAGGTGAAAAAATGTACCTTGAACCCACAAGTTCTCAAAGAACAGATTTTTTCCAACATTGTCACCAGACAACATGGATTACAGGATTCTCTTCCATGCTTTACTCTCCAAGTTATTTTTGTTCTGAAGCCAATGAAATACATAACAGTGTATGTGTCCCATCTTCCTTTTAACCCACGGACATTGTATAAGCTCCAAAATTGTTATAAATATTTGGTTATGGGCTCTCCCATTCATTTGGCTCTGGACACATTACTGGTGCCCCCACCAATAGTGTTTGAAGTCATGTGCATATGACATGACACCACAGTTTTAAGAAGGATATTGACAAGCTGGAACGTGTGCAGGGGAGGGCGACCAAGATGATCAAGGGTATGGAAACCAAGCTTTATGAGGAAAGGTTGAGGGAGTTGGGTATGCTTAGTCTGGAAAAGAAAAGACTGAGAGGAGATATAATAGGCATCTTCAAATATCTGAAGAGCTGTCACATGGAGGATGGAGCAAGCTTGTTTGCTGAGGCTTCAAGGGGTTGAACATGAACCAATGGATTCAAATAGCAAGAAAGGAGATTACAACTAAACATTAGGAATAAGTTTCTTACAGTAAGAGCTGTTCGACAGTCAAATGGGCTCCCTCAGAAGGTGGTGGCCTCACCATCCTTGGAAGCTTTTAAGCAGAGGTTATGTGGCCATCTGTCCAGGATTCTGTAGCTATGATTCCTGGATTGTTGGGTCCTTTCCAACTCTACCATTCTATGGCTCTATGACATTAGCCACAATTTGTATCTGCCTTGTAATTTTTGAGAAATACAGCTGTTGGATGTACTTCCCCTCAAACCAGCTTCCATCTGATTTGAAAATGTAAGGCACATTCACTTCATGATGAAACTGTGATGTATACACTCGAGACTGTTTTGACACATGTGCAAATGCCAGCTGTGAGAATAGGTGTTTTCCAGTGGGGTGGGTGGGGGGTAGCAGGTGTAGTTGAAACCAAACAGGCAATGCATATTGGGTGAAGTCAACCTTACTGTGTTCTAAGTTGCTAACCTGTACATAGCCTTTGAGAATGAGAAGCAGACTATGTTGCATGAAACTCAGAAAACAAAAACAAGTTCTCTCCCTATTGCTGGGGAAAATCTCCATCCTTGGCCACGACCTCTCCTTTGTTGTTACCAATGGCTCTGCTACATTCCCTCACCCCACAGCCTCATTCCGAAATACCTATCTGTTATAAACGCAACGATGCCAGTTTTCAGATAAGAAAAGGGAAATGGGGAGAGGGGCTGGGGAGGAAAGGAACGGGGAAGGCTGGAGTGATCAGGGACAAGGGATCAGAAAGGTGCACTTTCTGCTTGCAGCAGGTGCAAACCTTCCTTCAGCATGGGGGCATATTTTGCTAGCTCTGCCCTATACTCCCCACCCCCCGCGATGCTAATCCCACCTTCCTTGCGTGCAACGCTTACTCTAAAGGTATTCTCCCGAAGAAGCAGTGATACCTTTGGTACCGATTTGTCCCCCGCCCCCTCTCTTTCGACCCTGGGTCCCTCCGATCCCCCGGTTAAGGTGGAAGGGGATGGCCGAAGCCACCTTAAACAAAGCCTCGGGCAAGGCGGGCGCACCTCGGCGCTGCGGACCCCCGAAAGCCCCACCGGGAGCCGACGGCCCCTTCCTTCCCGCGCTCCCGGAAGCCGAGCTGCCGACTGAAGCAGGGGGCGAAGAAGAACGCGAGGAAGCAAGGAGGCGACCACGGGGGCTGGGTGGGCGGGGGAAGCGGCTGGGCGGGCAGCCCTCCTCCCGCCATTGGTGGGAGCCCCTCTCTCCCGGGGAGCCCGAGGAGGCGCCGATTGGCTGCCGGCGCTTGTCAGTCGGCGAGGGCCGAGTTCCATTGCTGGCTGGGCGTGCGGCGTGAATCGCTGCTGCTGCTGCTGCCGCGGCGGCTGGTGCAGCTGCGGGGAGAGCCGGGCTGGCGGCGCGGCGGCGGCGGCGGAGGGAGAAGGGATGCTGGCGGAATGGGCGGCCGGGCAGGAAAGCGGCGAGCGGGAGTCGGAACTCCGCTGAGAAGCGTCCGCGCTGCTGCTGCTGCTGCTGCTGCCAGTCAAGGGAAGGACGTGAGCCGAGCCCCGCCGGTGAGGTTTGGCGCCGGGCAGGCTTCTTTCTGGGTGTGTGTTGTGGTGTGTGTGTATGTGTGTGTGTATTGTGGCTGTGCGTGAGGGGCAGGATCTCCCCGCGCAGCATCCGTTGTTGGAAGGGCTGGACTCGGGCGGCGCAGGGCAGGGCTGGGCTGGGCTGGGGGGCATTGAGCAAGATGTCTGGGCGAGGGGCGAGCGCGGCTGAGCGGCATGGGCGCCTGGAGGGCTTGGGCGCACTTGGCGGGGCAGAGGCGCCCGGCCGCCTCCGGAGCATCGCCCTGGTGCTCGGATGCCCTTCAAGGAGGCTTCGCCGGCAGCCGGAACGCGAGGACGAAGGAGCATCCCGGAAGCCCCGCAGATGGAACTTTATTGGCCTAATTAAAAGACGATTTGCATGGCGAGGGGAAGCGCGGATTGGCAAGGCAATGCCCTGGGCTCAGGTTGCTGGAGAGCAAGAGGGGTTGCTTGCTTTGGGGTTCTTTTTGCTTCTTGCAAGCGAAACTTCAGCTGGAGCCCGTGGCCTGGCGGGCTTTGCCCCGCAGCCCATGCCCGAAGTTGAGGAGGTGAGCCCTTGGACTGATCTCTCCTAGCAGCTTCGAGCTCCTCAGACCTTAGGGTGAGTCAGGTAGGCAGCCGCCCAACTCCTTCCCTGCCCACCTCTGCCTTGGTTCGAATACCTGAAGATCCACCGTGTGGATGCCAGGCTTTGGGTTCAGCTCGCCTACTTTTCTGGAGCTTTTCCCGTGTGTGAGAGAGTACTATTGGAGGCGTGTGTTTGGCTGGGGGTTGGTGGAGAAGAGCAAGCTTTTGTTTTCATGTCTGAGCGAGAGAGTTGAGAAGTCCAGTGGCTCTCAGCTGTGAACTGTCAGTTCCCCACAATGGGATGCCGGATTATTTGCCAGCCTGCACTGTTTGACTTCCAAAGTGTATTGATGTCAGGGCAGCTGTTACTTTGCTTTTTCCCCTCCCAAATAAGATGCAGGGATTTATTTATTTATTTTAAAAGACAGATTGCCAATTAAGAAAACAGCGTTAACCTTCTGTTTTTGTAACCATCTCCGCAGGGGACTGGGTTTGATTTTATTCTCCCACAGAAATTGCGTTAAATGAAAAGGGCTTTTTTTGTTCCCAACTCTGCTGATGGCTAATGCTGGTTGGTTGGTAGATTTGGAACCTTGCAACTTTGGGAAGTGGATGGGATGACCCATTGATGCTTGTTCCTTAATAGTTTTTTTGAGGATTATTATTTTTAAAAGAAGAACTCTATGAATATTGATCCTAGAGGAGGTAATGGTGTTAGTCTGTTGTAGCAACGTTGAAGAAAGGGTCTTGTGGCACTTTTTGAAAAACTAACGGATCTTGTGGTATAAGGTTTCATGGACGAGAAGTCGCTATCCTATACAAAAGTAAGTCTGTGAGGTTTACTCTCAAGTAAATGTGCATTGGATTGTGGCTGCAGCCATATGTATCCTCTTGAATATAACAAAGTGGGTTGCTTGTAGCCATAAAACCTTTTGGCATGATACATTGTAAGTCTTAAAGATACATCAGAACTTTCCCTGTTTTTTCCTTAGAGATATGCAACCTAATATTAAGCAGTTTCTCTCAGAAGTAAGGTGAAGTAATTCAGTGACACGTCAGTCGCCTGTTTGACTTCTCGTGGTTCTTTGAGGGGTAAAAGCAATACAGAAATGAAGCAGAAAAAGCTACTCTGTGCATACTGAGAAAGAGCAAGCTAGTGGTCAAAAGACACATGCACAAGAGCTACTTAAAGGGAATAGCAACTTGGCTGAGATTTTGGTTACAGAAAGTTTATTACAAAATCCCTGACCTTGACTTGTGGATAATAATGTGCAGTGCTGCTCTTGGCATGTTTACTCTGAAATAAGTTCAGTTGCGTTGGGGGGGGGGCTTACTTCTTTGTAAGCGTAGTTAGGATCACAGTATTAAATTCTTCCAAACCTTAGGTCTCACCAGATGAGTTCTGGGTTTACTGGGATGTGTTCTTTCTTCTTGAAGACTGGAAGCAATAAAACAAAGCAAAACTTCAGCTTATCCAGTGGTCTAATATGTTGCTCTGTTGGCTGCAATCTTGTACACACTTCCTAGGGAGTAAGCACTGTGGACCTCAGTGGGAACTTACTCCTGAGTAAATATGCACAGGCTTGGGCTGCAGACCATTACGAACACTAGATTCTGAGTTGGTTAGTAGTGTTTTGTTATCTTAGCATGCATTGGTTGTTCTCATATCTTTCTTAAAAAGGAACGACTCCATGATGCAAAACATTAACTCTCTAATAGAGCAGTAGCTAACCCTCATAATTACGAGAGGGATCTTTATTTTTATTTTTTATGGTGCTTAATGCTTCTAAATTTTCTGAAGCATTGTGCCACTGATGTAATTAGCAGCCAAACACCAACACATTGGGGAAAGTGTAGCATATCTATGATCTTCCATCTGATGTAGAGTCTAATCTACATACCATTCTAATGATTTGTTAAATAATGGATTGTGATCTGCAGATACCTTGGCCTTATTAATTCAAAGCCAGTGGTGGAATGGTAGGGAGACTGCTCAAATATTTAAGATGGTATTTTGTTCTGCTAAAACCATCTGGTTCCCTGTAGGCATTTTTAGCTCTGAAAAAGTCTCACATAGTTTAGAAGTCTAGGAATGTGCCGTGTTGCTTATGCGACCTCCTTCTCTAACATACATGAATTCTCTTCTCTGTTTCCAGGTTGTACTATCCACACTTTCCCTTGATGTCTGAACTGGGTAAACCATGGTTAGCATTCACATAATTCATGTTTTGCAAACTGACCTCAAACCATGGTTTCAAGTTGTGCTTTGTTTGAGTGTTAGCACCAATCATGTTTTACTTGATTCAGACTTGGATGCTACATTGGAAAGCCGTGGTTAGGGCAACTTAGAAATGGATGAGTAATTGAAGTATCAGGGAGGGGGAAGAGGAAGGCATGTTTAAACCCACAATACACTCCCAGACCTCCAAAACATGGTGCAACCTGGGTTACTGTGTCTTGGTTGGATGCACAAATCCATTCATAATAGTTGAAAAACTAATGGGAAGTTAATGAAAGCTACATATTGACACCAGTGGGCTTTAGAATAATTAATCCTTTGGTCAAATCAGGTTGTCATTAACAGCATGTTTGTGTTTTGCACTAATAAGCTTTTATAGCTGAATTGTAAATATTAAGGGTAGGTTTTAATACTCAATGCTTTCCTTGGTCCCTATAAAACACAAATCTTCTGCCCTGCAATGCACTTATCAGAGAAAAATATATTTACTTACAGGAAACAGAACTGAAATGGTACTTTATCAGATTTATGAATTTTTGTCATATGGTGCTAAAAAAGTGTTAAACTGATGTGATGCAGTTAATGAAATCTATTTAAGATTTTTTTCGGTAGCTAGGTACCTTGCAGAGAGCTGTGTGCAGTTTGTTCTATTCCTACTTAGTGCTTCCATTCTAGTTTTTCCTGACCTACACCACTGGGTGCAGTCAGTGTCAATTTTTTTTAGTGGTTTAGTGACATAGACAAATGCTGTTTTGTCAAAAGGCAAGGTTGAAACCCCCAAACTGATTTTCCTTGTGCCTTACATTGTATATTGGGGCTTCAATCCATTGTTCATTTGATTCCTGCTTACTCACTTGGGAAATCCTATTTACTTCAGCGCAATTATTCATCTGAATAGAAATATAGGAAATCTCCCTTATTTTTATTGTATTGCCTTACCTCTTAAGCTACTGGTCCTCTGGGCAGCTATTGCGTTTGGAATTACAAAATAATGGGTTGTCAACAATGCTAGCCCTACTTGGAGTAAACCCATTAAAACTAAGGGGCCTAAGTTAGGCATGTGTATTAATTTCAGTGGGTCTGCTCTGAGTAGGACTAGCACTGAAAACTACTTGGTGCAAATAAGAATGATATTATAAGAATAAGAATAAAATCAAAGCAACGTAAAAGTAATTCATAACACAAAAGCTTCCATTTCAAAGGCCTGATGAAAGGGGCATTTCTTTGCCCTAAATGAAATGGATCTGGTAGGGAGCCAGCCCTTAAAAGACCGTGTGCAATGCAGATACGTCAAATAACTAAGGCACACCAAGTTCATTGAGGCTTACTCCCTGGTAAGCAGACACAGGACTGCTGCCTCAGTGTATGGTATTGTTATTTTAATGGATCAAGAACTTTTTTTTACATTATTACAATCTTTTGTGTTCAAATTATTGAATACACCAAACTTAACCACAGAAAAGCTGTAAATGCTACTACTACAGAATTTTTTTAAAAATAAAAATGACTCAACTGCCAGAGGGCATATTTGCCATATTTTTTGTGTTTTGTCTTTGCATTAAAATATGAAATGTCAAAAAGAGCATTCAGTTTCCATTCTGCCTTTCAAAATGGTAGAAGAAATATAGGTTCCTTCTGAAAATATATTTGAATCCTATTGCCTGGATAATTAGCAAGCTACTATATTTCTTTGAAAAAGAAACTTCCTCATTTTCCTCATTGCACGAAAGGGATGTAAACAATTAATTTATGTATGTGTTCGGCTTTTTTAAAAAAGTGGAATGAAACCGTCATTTTTGCACATGCCAACCTGCTGCCTGATTTAATTGCCCAAATAAAGATTATATCACATCACTAAAATCTCAGTGGTGAAATTGGCAGCAATAAAGCGACTTACATGGGTACAGCAGGAGAAAACAAAGCCCTTAAATATTGTGTTTGTATACAACAGGTCGAACTACTAAAGTGGTTTTTAAGAACTGCAGAGGTGTTCTTCTTGTTAATTTAGTAATTTTATGAACCCTTCAAAATTGCGTTCTGACTGACATGGGAAAGTTACTCTTCTCCTTGAACTAAAGTTAATTGGTGACATCTATGTCTCCCATTGAAATGATGTTTTTATAAATGCACATTTTTCAGGCACTCAGCAGACCTCCCACGGGATACCAAGGCAACCAAGAGATAAAACTACACTGATCTGTCAGTTGCTGCCTTACATCTTCCAAGTTACTTGATGGTTTTCTTTGGGACATGCATAGATTATCCTTCATTTGCATGAAGGAACTTTGATCTTGGTTAGAAGAACATTTTCCTAATTTCTCTGATGCCCTCCCATCACCACCTAGTCTGAGGTCTGGATTCTTCATCCAAGTCTCTCCACATACACCAAGACAGGTGTTTCTATGCATAACCGTGTAATGGCTTCCAAAATCAGTGCACAACTCAAAAAGACC